CCACAAAGGCACCTTTAGAAATGTTTAGAAATAACAATCTACAGATTCTTAAAGGCAATTGCGGGGTTTTTATTCTTTGCATACTGTGTTTTTCTCCCCCCATTCTTCTCACAGTAGCGATCTTTACTAAGGGCAGATTAATCCATTTCCACTTACTTCCTGGAACTCTGCCACATGTGACTAGGACATGTGACCATGTACATAATCTCAGGAGAGGAAAATGCCTTTCCCTGAGATTGATTTCCCAGCAATGCACTGCTGATGTAACCATCCCAGGATGCAACACTTGGGAGCATTACATCACTTTTGCCAACAAGAACCAGGAAGTTGAAAACTAGAAGTGGTAAACAAAATGAAATATGTTTGTTTAACTAATGAGTGTAAGATGATTTCATATCAGCATATAGAGCTGCATGCTGATGTGATTTGTAGCCAAAGGGGGTAAAGGTCTGCTTTAATCAAGTAATAGTCTCACCTTTACTTTTTCACTTATAGGATTCTTTTTGGTAACCTATTTAACACAGCTGAACACATTGTATTAGGTAAATTTGGTATATGCATTAATAGTTCAGGAGTGCAGCACAATGTTATTTGTTTTACTACTTTAAATAAGTGGTATGGATATGGATATAAGGATATGACAGTCAGCACTGCCATTAAGAGTTTATGCCTATAGTAGAACTGGAGTTTCCTTTAAGGGCTTCAACAAAGCTGCTTGCTGGAAGCTTTACAAGTTTTTCACAAGAGCATGCTGTACACACACACATACAAACACACACCCCTAAAGCTCATGGAAACAAGGCCTAGGGCATTGCAAGAACAATAACCCACAGCAGTCAACCCAGATAAATGCATTGCATATCTGACCACAGTTAACCAAAATAGTTGACTTGTTATTATGCTTAGCACCACATTTAAGATTGGTTTCTTAAAAAAAACCAAATGACATCGCTATGCACATTGTGCTTAGTCTAACTTAGATATAAATGGTAACTGATTTGTGTTTCCTGAAGCAGCGTCAATCTACAGTGCAAGCCTTTGTTCTACATATGTGGGTTTACTTGGCAGTACAAGGGTAAAGAGCAAAAATAACATACAATTCTCTTAAAGCAACCCAACTTCATTCAACTGTAAAACTCACAAAGCAACCACCACTCATATTCCTTGTCCTGTGGTCAGAGAGCCCTCTCCCTCTTGTTGCAGCAGGCAAGAAAAGCACGCTGCAGCTTGATACTGGTTCTCGCAGAAACAATAGCCACACAAACAACTGATATCACTAGCTGGACAATGTTTAATATCGAAGTCAAAACATGCTGTAAACCAACACAGTCTCCTCCAATTCTAACTGAGTCGGAGGAGCATCTGTTTCTTTACATGTTTCGACCTCAGGAATAAACATTGTCCAGCTTGTGATACCAGTCGTTTGTTCAATCAACTGTACTCACACCTACTAGTCATTTAAAAAAAATTTCACCATGACAGTTCTCATCACTGCCTGACTCTGATGCCGTAATAACTCAGTACCAATATTGACAAAAATATCAAAAGATACTCACGGATCCAGGCAAGAAGTGGCTCCAGTGACGGGGCAGTTGGTGTTTGTCACTTTCACCATTCGTCCCCATGAGGACAATACAGATATTATTACAGGTGCCAGCAACCAGGTCATTTCCTGTGGCTACTTTGAGTTTGTAGATCCCCATAGCTTGAGGAGACAGCCTACCAGACAGCAGCTCTGCGAGACAAGAATTGTTGTAAAAGAGAACTCACATTTGACTTGACTTTTCTCTTATGTCCAGGCAGAGAATTAGTAAATTTTATCAGTCTAATTAGTCATACGTCTGGTTGTACACAATGGGATTGATTTACTAAAGGCATAATTTGCACTTTGCATGGGGAATGTTGGATTTTCTATTCATTTCTCTTCCAGTGACAATGATCACCCAGACTACACTAAAAAGTAAAAGGGATCTATCCTTCCATAAATACAGGTTAAACTCGAATAATTAGAATATCGTGCAAAAGTAATTGCAGTAAGTGCTGCAAAAGGGGAAAATTCGGACGTAATTCGTGAAAAAATAAATTCAGATCAATTTAAATTCAATGCATTTGCATTCATAAATTCAGATGCAACAGAAATTGGACACATTTGAATTTGGAAATTCAAATGCATCCAATATTGGGATGAATTTGAATTCATGAATTTGGATGCATCCGAATGTCAACATTTAAAGAAACTTGTCTGAATTTTAATTTGGAATGACATGAAACGAAACATACATGTCTACTATTCAAAACACATTCTAGAGTGGTAAATGGCTGCTACCCAAAATGTGGTGGAGCCTTTAGGATCTTTGGTAAAGACCAGACATTGTACACTACTTCAAGACAGTAATGGAAATGATTCTGCATGATCTAGTAAACCTTTTGGAATATGCTAATTTTAGCAATTTGCATACCATTGGGTAGATGTCCCTTTATTTTCTATTCCCATAGACACAAAAGGAAGTTAGAACAAAATCTCCCCAAGTGCGGGGAATTCCCCTCTTAAACAGTTGTTCCTGGAACAGGTGTCCCAATGGAATATTTATCCTCACCTATTGTTCTAACGACATCTCTAAAACTTTGAATTTATGTCCGTACAGGAACACAGCACTAAAAACCAGAGGGTTTAACCCTTCCCCATTTTACCCAAAACTATATGTAGTCTTGTGGGCCACTGCAGACATAGTTCAATGCATTACTATCTCCGATCCTCAAAATTATAAACCTCTAATTAGTAAATTCTTGGACCTTGTATAAAAGTGAACTTGATTTTAAGCCTAGAGCAATAAAGATATATGAATGGCCATTGGGATTTACTGTCCTACTTACCATCTTTGCTTTCAGTGCCTCGGTCATGGAAGTGATTAAGAATAAAGCTACAATGTCAGCATGGATGTAACCGTCACAACAATGAACCCTGTACACTATTAAACTTTAAAAAAACTTTTATAACTAGTACTGCATTAGGACTCCGAAGACACATATTCAAATTACATTTAAGCCAGCCAACTACATTAAAGTGACCCCTCTATTGCTCTACCTATAAAATGCTTATATATAAACATCCTGCTATAGTTGCACCAAACAGCCCAGCTCTGTAAACTCACCTACAGCAGACAATGGAAAGAAGAGTGTATGAGCAAACCCTAACAGCTTGTATGAAGGGGATGCTGGAGGGTGTGACTATGTAGAACACCTAATCAGAGTTAACTCCTTACTCTGCTATACACACACCTGTAATCCTATGTAAAAAAAGGATTCTTAGTTTACACATATTGCAGCATGATTATGTTTCTCTAACTCAGCAGGTGACTTCAAAAAATTTCCATCATTTACAGCAAGTCGTGGACAACGCTGGATGTCTTGATTGACCCTAGGATTATGCCCGTGGATCCATTTTTTGTTTGGAACGGGGGAACCAGACGCTTTTTTTTCTTAATTTTATTTACTTTTTAATTTAACATTTAATTTTTAATTTGTTTTTCATTTAAACCTTTTCTATTCTACTCCCTACTTCGGAGATAGTGAATAGAATAGCCGAGGGCCGCTCAGCAGCATTTGACTGTTCACTCACTGCCGGTCGGCTCCCATGAGAATAGGGCGAACGGCAGCGAATGAACTAACGGAAATTTGGCTCAGCCTATCTAGATGTTGGATCAGCCGAGTCCAAACTCCTGCCAACTCCTTCCCAAATACTGAGCTGAAGTGAATAGCTGAACTGTGTATGGCTCGGGTACCACATGTTAAGGGCCTTTGGCCTGGTATGGCTCAAGAGGGTTCACACATTCACTTCCCTTCCTGGCCAGCCAGCATGCTTGAATATGGTCATATATGGATTTTGACATTCTATGCATTTTTTTAATGGGTTCCTTCAAAATCCATATCAGACTTGAAGGATATTGTGAATGACAGCACCCAGCTAATGGTAAACCTTCAACAGCTTAGATTCTGGTTCAACTCATGGTTGACCAGAGGTCAAAGCCCATCCCTAAGATATTTGTTCTCTACTAAAGCTTGCAAAGTGCAAGTTTAATGTGGACCTCCTTAAGCCAGAACCCATTGGCTGTACTACAACCAAATAAGAACTTACCACCATATGGTCAAGGTCCTCTAGGCTGTCCTTTCTAAGGGCTGGTAAACATTTACCCGTGCCATCTCCAGCTATATAATACAATCTAGACCAGGTCTGCCAGTCTAAGCTTGATCTGACCTGCAGTAGATGAAAAACTCCACAGTAGACATTACAGAATTAAACATTGCTATGGCACAACCTATCCCATTAGGGGAGAAATGTGGAATTAGTCACCATCCTTGCAAGTGGTTCATTTACAAACAAATGGCCATAAAAGTTAAACAGGTTATCGAGCTTGAGTTTTTGAAATTCAGCAAGTTCCAAATGCATGTGTAAATAAATCTGATATATCCATACACAAGTTTAATATCCATATCTGAGCTTCAGTCAAGCATATAATACAGCAGTGTAAAATTGTTCAGCAGCAGCTCCGCTGTAATTACAAATAGGCCTAATAGGTATGTAGCACTGGCCAGCAAAAGAGCTGCTGGATTTTATGTGCCCCACTAGCCTAATAGATATTTATCCTGTAGTTGCACCCAGACACTTCCAGGCCCACCAAGGGCAAAAGACTGAGAGAACACACACACACACACACACACACACCACACACACACACACGTTAAGATTGTGGTAAAAGCATGGATTATACTGTACCCCTCACAAGGGTCCTGAAACTCCCTCTGGAAAAATAAGCACAAGAAAAAAAACTCCACACAAGATATTCACTGAGAAATATTTTATTACTCATACAAAGTAATCTTAGTGTTCTTACAGATACAAGATTAGTGTAATAGTCTGCTTTATTAACAAGATCCATACTAATCACAACACAGGCAGATTGAGAACACAGAGTTGGCCAGTAGAGCCACCAGTATCAGTGTTAGATTGAGACACTGTTTGCCATCTCGCTCGGATCCAGATAGGAATAGGGTAGGGACAAGGTCTTGTTCCTCTCTTGTATGGACGTGGAGATTACTGCCAGTTTATTCTGGAATTCCTTAATAAACTTCTGTGGAGTCTCTTCTGTAAAACGTACATCCGGGTAGCTTCCTAGAGTCCTCTGTAGAAGAGAGTTTACTGAAGTTAGCAATACAAGTGCTTAAAGTCACCATAAAAATTGCCATTGGTTTGTCACATTCAGCTGAACTTGCTGTTAAAGTTTTGTAGCTTGACCATACACCTCAGTTCTAGTGAGCATCAGAACATACAAACATTTGCTACTGGCTAAAAATGGTGGGTTATGTTCTGACCCTTTGAAGCAAGTGGCTTGATCAGCTGCAATATTACAGAACAAGTCAAGTTGAAAACTTACTACCTATACCATGACCTGGATGATGAACTGTCAAGCCAAAAACATAACACTATGCAGACCATAGTGTTCCATGTACAACAATCTTTAAATTACCTGGATCACAAACATTTGATCAGCAGCATTTTGTATATTGCTTCTCGCCAGTCTGACACTTACCTTATTCAGGGGCTCATTGCTGAGGGTCCAAACTGTGACCATACCAGTAGCTGTAGTGTTCACATCTGGCAAAGCATGTAAAATAGCTTGCATTGTGGTGGCTCCTTTAGTGGTGGATGGGGGACTCTTCATGGAGGTAGGGCCATTGGGCATCCATGAATAGATATCATACTGCAGAAGAAGGATGCAGATTATGTATCCAGAAGATTGTGGGTTAGCATAGCTTCCAAAGAGTCACTTTGTAAGTGTCAGCTTACTATTGAAATGTATGCATAGGCATAATAAGGCTTATGTAAATGCTTGACTGTAGTATGGTTTTAGTTTGCTTGTCACTCACCTGACCACTGTTGACAGCTGCATGTTGAGCAGAACATGTAAAGATCACCATAGTTAGGTACTTTATCAGAGAGCCCTTGGCCTCAAAGGAAGATGGGATTTCTGTCACAGGAGAGACATTTTAGTAGAGCATTTATAAAGCCTGCCCCAAGTCCCATTAACATTGCATTTTCAAGCAACTTCATGCACAATTTGAGCAGTTAAACATTCCATCGTGTTCCATCTACCTCTGATCAGCAGATGGATAGTGGGGCTTGACACACTTTCATAGCCCCTTCACAAAGTGTACTTCTATTCCAGTAGGACAATGTGTCCCCCCAATTCCCTTTTGCCAGTATAAGAAGGCAGCCAACATTCTGGCACTGCCCTCAGTTTGGTCATGCAAGACATTTAACCCCTTCTCACCCCAACTCCTCCCTCTGTCTGTCTCCACAGGAGTTTGAGATTTACCATTCTTTGGGTAACGTCAGTGGGAAAACATACCGGAAGTTTTAGATTCTAGGAATCCTTCTTTGAAGATCTCATCCACCCAGGCCTGAAGTTCAGGGTCTTGTCTGACCATTTCATCACTCGTATAGTAGTAATCAACAATGTCTGAGACAAAGCTATGAAAAAAATGTTTTTTTTTTTATAAATTGGATTTGACAATTTAAAGCTGCATGGAAAATGCACAACATTTTAGCATTAATAGAAAATCCCTACCTCTCCACAGCCAACCAGATCTTCATGCCATCATCCCTGTACAGGTAGTTAGGGATGGACTCCATTCCTCTGCTCTCAATATGATCAGGGAGACAAAGACTACTATAGGTCAGACCATCCATGGCTTTCTTCAAGAGTACTGGGACCCCTCCATTCCCCACTGCCACAGCCTGGAGAGAACCCAATTAAATGTTTTACACTTTCATTGTTACCAGACCAGTGTTGCCATAATACAGTCACCATTAGTAGGACTACAGGAGATTCAGTGGACTTAGTTAGGGCAGGGTTAACATTTAGCCTTTTCTTTTCCAGCTGTGTTATCTTTGACAATAGGAAGCAGCACATGTGGGCTTGGGCAGTATGTAGACCAATAAGATAATGTAGTTTCCACATTGGATACACTAGGAAGGCTTAGAACACCAGGTTTTTGACATCTTTGTTCACAGATCAACACTCCCGATACCATTGCAGCTGGGACAGCAGTCATGAAAAATCCCAAGAGTCAACCTTGGGATTTCTCATGACTGCTGTCCCAGTAGCAATTGCATCGGAAAGAAGGTGGATCTGACAGATGGGCCAAAAATAAACACAAGCACCCCTGAGGTTCCAGTCCTTTATAGTCCACCCTTGGGTGAACATTATACAGGATTTATATAGCGCCGACAGTTTGGGGAGCGCTTTACAATACACATCAAGATGTTGAAGTCCCTCCCATAAGATCTTTTTTTTTTTTAATTGAAAGATTCCCACTACATGATTTACCATAAAACCCTGACAGTTTGACCCTTCCTCTCATCAAAAAGACGTGACACATGACATAAAAACAGCAAGAGTGGTGACAGCAGCGTTATATTAACGAGTTTCATAGTTTTTAACTCAAGCAATCAAGATACTAGAGTATCTGTGGTCACCACAAAAACCAGACAGCCATTCTTACTTGATCAAAGAGGCCTTTGGGTCCAATAAGCTGCTTCCTGGCAAAGGTGTTGATTTCCAGTGTGTAGAGAAGATGTGGCGTAATCAGCTAGGGAAAAAATATTATAGCCATCCCAACTATTAAGGGCATTTGACCATGATATCAGCAATGTGCCGTTTTGCTTAAACATTCTATAGTTTGCCAAGATAGAAGATTATGGAAGACAAGAGTTAAACCTCCCAAGGCCTCATTCATATCTTCTCTGCATTAATGTGTTGCAATAATGGGCTGCTAATGCACAAGAATGGAAAAACATTGTGCTAGGACTTAGTGCTTTGGAATCCTCCCTCCTTCGTGACACCCACTTACCTTATACAGTGGGTGTGCCATTGGAAGTTGCCTGGTTGTGGCAATGGAGAAAACTTCGGCTAAGAGATGGGTGCGGAGAAGGTGCGTATCAGTTTCATGTACCTGGAAGTCAGAATTACGCACCCAGATCTTGGCCAGTAACCAGTCAAATGCAGAGTCACTGGGCAGGAAGAGTGGTGTATTCTCTCCAGGGGTCTGAGATAACTGCAAGAGAAAAGCCACACACCTTAATTGAAGAGGCATACAAAAAAAACCAAACACCCCACCACACCCCACTTACCTGGATTGCAATTGGGACGAGCTGATCCTGAGGATTTTTCCATAGTAGACACATAGGGGCTGCAATGTATTGTCGCTGTCCATTGATTGAGTCATTGGGAGGAACTGCCTCAAGAATCTTATAGTCTGCCAGGAAAATGTGACCATTCTGCAAACAGTATATAGATTCGATTTTAGCAATACCCAAAAGTAAATGTTAATTAGGACCAAACATTTAAGAGAGCAAGCGTGAACAACCTGCCAAATTGTATGACCTTTGTCCTTTTATTGTGGAGATTATCCTGCTCACTGCTAATTAGACAGAAGGCCACTAAATGTTAACTTGAATGCTTCCCCACCAAAGCCAAGTCTTCTGGGTGGAAGCAGGAATTAATGCAACATGAATTTACATTACAGTCAGACCTCCGAATTAGATATGCCCACCTCGAGTTCTTTCTCTAGGTTTGTTGAATTCCCCAAAGAGGGAGCCACCATGTGTTCACCGACTGGGAAGTTGTTTGGAATTTTGAGGCATTTCTTGATCAGTATAGGGTTAATTCCATTCAAATATTGGCTACCAAAGAAAGAATCTTCCTTCCATATCTCACTCACACGATCTGAAATACAAGATTAAAAGACTGAAAAGATTTAAACTGCTTCATCGAAAAGGTGCCTCTGAAGGTTTAGTTTTTTATAATGCACCAGCTTTTATTTCCCCCTTACTTGGATATACCACTTATGTGGACAGACACCTGTGCCCAAGTATTGCATCTTGGGAGGATATCAGCAGTGCATTGCTGGGAAAGATCTGTAATCTTAGTTCTCATGGAAAGGCATCTTCATTATAACTAATCGCAGTTTACAAACTCCATGGTGACTGCAGTATTGGGAACACACTACTTAAAACCAAGTACCATGAGGTAGATGCGAGGGCACAAGTTGGAGGGGGGAGGAGCTATTGTAAACTGTGTAAAGGGTATTTTACTTGTGTGGTAAATTCCCCCTCCACAGATAGCAGTATTAGCAGGAAACTGACACATGCAAACTATACAGGGTGAACAGGTCTTTATTCAACCTCCACTATGCAACAAAACATATTTAGGCTGCCATTGCTCACATTCTGTTAATGCCAACTGCCTTGCTTAAATAGAAGTCATGAGCGCATGGCAAGTATTGTCAGAACACCTTACCCCCCTCAAGTCACTGAAGCAATTGGGGCTGCTGACAAACATTTAGAACAGAGGTAACCAAACTCCATCTGCTATGGAACTACAAATCCCGTAAGGGATAAGACTCCTGACAGGCACATGATTAGAATTGAACTTCTCACCACAGCAGTGACAGTCTTCCTACTCTTGATTTAGAACGAAACTAAAGGCAGCCTAGATTACCTCAACACAGGCATTCCAACTCAAGGTAGTCCCATCACGATTCAGATGCAAAGGTTAATTGGTGGGTTATACACTTACTGGCCACACTCATACAACCATGAACTACAAATTACAAGTTCTGCTTCACAGGAAAGAATTATTCAGAAGCAGATTTTACACACATGAATTCTGTGATCTTCGCAGAGTAGACACCATTTTGATGTCTTCTAGGTTCTGCCATGAATCCATGTTGCATGCAAATCCTTTCAGCTTTGTTTCTATGCCACTAGAAGGGGGAAAAGAAAAGCCCAGAACTATTAAGACAATGTTATATGGACTCATCTATAGTCAATACAGGAATACTTGTGGACGCCTAAAGCTGGTGCACCGCACTCAGCCCTGGTCAATCCTAAACAGCACATGTGTCAAACTCAAGGCCCAGGGGCTGAATCTGGCCCACCAGGCCATTTCTTAGACTTCTACTTTCAGATCTAGATATTAAGTTATTACTAAAATCAGTGATAATCGAATGCAGAGGCAATGATAAAGATTTTATATAGTCTTACAGATAGCTTTGAGGGCAACCATAATGTTGATGTGGCCCACGATTCAATTGAGTTCTACACCCCTGCTATACAGTATTCAGGCTCCTACTATAAAGATACATGTAGGCTCTGAGATATACTAGAGTAAGGGGGGGGTGCGATCAGAAATTATAGGTCAGCCAGCAACTCTGCCCAGGCTGATTACAGGACTTGTCAGGATAGTGGTTACCAGATCCTCCAACCAGTGGTAAATGTTGTTTAATCTAGTTCTGTTACAAGCACATCTGTTCAGTCCTTTTGGTTTTAAGAGGTTGGCCAATGGCAAACAATGCTGGATGGTAGCCTATATTGAAACACACAGGTTCCCCAATTGGTGGGGC